CATCACTCTCTCTGATGTGGTACCTGTTCCATCGAGAATACGCCTCCTCTCTCAGAGAAGGCACACTATTTTTCCACCAGACATTTTTACAAGATTCTTCTAGCAGCAGGAGACAAATGATTCACCCATTCATCCACCTGGCACACTGCAGCAATTTATTCCTTTGAGTGCTACACTTGTGGTGAATTATAAAGCAGCACAAAAAGGCTGATCGAGTATCCCCTCATATTCTGGACCTACTTTTAAATGGACACAAGTCACAAATAGGTTCTGCACTAGTGATTCATAGTTATCCCGTCCTTCTTTTCTAATCTTCTCTCTGAAGGTTTTCTTTCTCTAAATCAGTGAGCTTGGCTCTAAGAGCTGTTATTTCCATAATTATCCTATGGCACAGCCCCACAGTCTATCAGAGCAGAAAAAGTGAATGAGCAAAGCTAGGGATGAGCAATCACCATAGCCTAGGAGTAAATGATCCAGAGCTCTGAATATGTTGTGTGATACCTAATTAATTGTAGGAAGAATATTTTCCTAACTGAATGGTTTGTTGAAAATAATCCATTGATGATATGGAATAATCCATTTTGTGCATCTCTGTTGGTTTTAGAAACATTTATTCCTTGGAAACAGTAGGAAGTTCATGACCAGTATTTGAAGGTGGCAAATGCTTGAGCAGGGAGGTTAGACCAGATGACCCATTGTGGTTCCTTCCAACCTTACCCATTCTGTGATTCAATGGTTCTGTAATTCTGTGAAATGTGTTAAGTTTCATATGTACTCTTAAAATGTCTGTTTCTGGTCATCCGAAAAGAAAGATCTCCTCGCTAGTAGGTGTGAGAACTGACAGAAGGAAATGTGTACAGAGGAGCAGGAAGATCGGGGAGCAGGATTAGGAAATCCAATTTTAGAAGAAGGTCCTGTGCCTGGCTCTGCTACGTCAGTGAGCCTGGCCTCCCGCAGCATAATGTCCCCTGCCTCCAGAGAGAAAGTCAGAACAACTGTGACCAGGCTTCATCCAGTAAGCTGTGAGGTAATGCATTTATCAGAACAAATATGCTGCCTGCTGATAACCTTGTACATGCAGACCATTTAATATATGATAAAAACAATTACATGTTCCATTTGTTGATATTGGGCAATCTACATACCTTCAGAAAGGGTACACAGGTTAGCACAAATAGGAAGGTGCAGAATAGAACTTAAACAGATTTAAATGAGAGAATTTAAATTTCGCATAGGTAGGTCGTTGCTAGGTATAAATGTTTGGTTATTTTCATACTGCTAAACAGCACTTGCAACCAGATTAACACAATGGAGGAAAGCTAAAAGTCATTCTTAATGTATTACATTATTCAGATAAGAAATAGGCACAACTGCAGACTGTAGGCTCAGCCAACAGAACAATCTGCTTTCAAGGTTGCCTGGCACCTCTGCATGCCAGATCTAAGCAGTAAATGCTAATAACTTCACTGGGTTCTTGGTAAAATTTCCTGTGTCAAATTTTTTGTCTTACATAAACATTACTGAGAGATTTCTGAAAAAATTACTATTGGGGGAAAATACAAGTCTTTAGCCCTGCTTAAAAGTTCTGGTGATCTTTATTCAGAGCAGCACTACCTTTCTTCTGATCTATGTTTCTTTTTAGCAAAGAAAAGAAAAGTTGGTCAAATCTTGAGACTCTATTGGAGAAAAAAGAACAATGCATAGGATTAGACACTTTTTAGTTTTTTAACTATCTGCCATCTCATCAGATCATGCCTGAGTCTTTCTTGTGGCTTCTGACACCTCCACTGAGCATCTGAGCTTGCTCTTCAGACCTGCAGTGGCCTCTGTTAATTGCTTTAGGCTAACGAGAAGTCGAACTGAAGAGTGGGATGTCTCTTACATAGTTGAAGCAGAGCCCAGTGACATAAGGTAACTCCTGACCCTGAGCCACTTCCTGCGAGTACAAACACAGAATTTGATGGTGATGGATTGTCAAAGTGGAGGGAGAGGGTGGAGACTCCACTGCCCCCAGGCTTCAGGAAAATCCAGCTGACTCCTCCTGTATCTTTCCACTCAGCTGAAACCTCACACTCATTTTTCATTTTCTCTCTCACTCCAGCCGTCTCAAACATATGGACAGGACAGGGAAATCAGGCAAGAAGGGATGTTGCTGACCAGGCACCATATAGAAAAGGATACAGGGTAATAAAAAAACCAAAATGGAAAAAGCATGAGTAAACAGGGCAAACAAGTTATAAGAAGCCCAGAGGAGAACTGAAATCATGGACAGATGAGAATAGGAGCCCAAGAATGAAATTCGAAGCGCAGGTGCTCTAACACTGCTGTGCCAACATCCTTGAAACCCAAGCAGTCCTCTCCCTAGTGTAGGTTTCTGTAGAAGCTGACATGCCTCTAGCAGTGGAGTTTGTTTTGATGAAGCCCTGCCTCCAAGTCAGCTAATAGATTACATGGATATCACGATTCCACAAGATTGCATTTCTGATTTATTGGCTGAGTTTACATCTTTTCAAAATTCCACCTACACACAGCAGCTATCCTGTAAAACATAGCTGAAGCTGCGAAATCAAGTGCTCAGAACTTAAGAAGAGTTGGTTACGCAGCCACGATGCAGCAAGCCTGGTATTGACATTGTACCTGCGTGTCTGACCCACTTCTGTTTTCTATCTCAGACAATGCACAAGACTGAATTACTCTGGGGAAATCCCTTGCAAAGGAAGGGGCCCATCAGTAGAAGTTTAAGACAGAAAGTTACCAGTGTATCCTCCACTGTGAACGTGAACCACGGAACTACCTTTGCCTTCAGGTTATCTTTGTTTTACCAGTCATTCTGGCATGACTTTTGGCACTGAGCACAGAAACAGGAGCCCTAGAGCCACCCTACCCTTCCTTCTCAAAGGCTGTCACAATGTGTCAGTACAGTGGGACTCTGTCCCAAATGAGAGCACTAAGTACTGCCACTCAACAGACCACCACCATCACCAACCCGTGTCAGAACCATATCACTTTAGGGCTGCCAGCTCCTAAAGCAAAGCACAAAGATGCGTGGTGACTGTGCTTGTGGAGCCCAGCTCCACTTCAGCAAATTCCCAGCCAGACAGCTTGGCTTTATTTTTTTACTTAGCAACTACCTCCCACCCAGAGAAACCACCTTCCCCTGTTCTCAGAGAGTAGAATCAATGCACTGAGAATGGTAATACTTGTTCTTTTTGGTAAAGTAAATGATGCTGCTGCTGGAGAATATTTTCATAAAACATGGAGTAGGGCTTCAAGTTGCTGCACTCTCTGGTCATGATATCACAGCCCAGGACAGTGAGACACTGCTCTAAATGGCTTTTTTAAAAAGTGACCTAGGAAAGCAAAATAAGAAACCTTGTGGGTGGCCTGAGTCACAAGGGTTGCTATATACAGCATACATCAAAATGAAACATGGTCACTTTATTGTAAATAAAATGCTTCTGCAATACCAAAATGAAGCAAAAATCAAATCATTCAGTGTAAAAGTTTTTGTTCAACCTACAGTTTCACTGAACTAATGGAAAACAGATTTGTCTGGTTTTTTTTTTTTGATTGGTTCTAGCTGCAACTGTATAATGGTTGGTTTTTTCCATCTGAAGCTAAAAGAGAATTTTCAGTAGAGAAATTAAATCACCAGCTCAGAAACTGCCTGAATTGTAGCTGGGCCCCAAGATCCCTTCTCTCACAGAAAAATGTGGTTTGTGTTGTTTTAGCAGGAGTGGTTGTATTTTCATAAATATTTTCTTTAAATTTCACTGAGAAAAACAAAACCTGCTTCCTAACATTGTGATTGACCCCTGATTTAGCAATGACTCAGGAAGAAGAGTTCCCACGACAGATTCTGTGAATAAAGTCCTGCAATCCTGCATTGCGGTTGCATTTAAACCTCCAGCCCTAACTCATCTTCACATTATTACAGTCCTGAGAGCTGAAACAAACCTGTCAGAAGGCAGCAGGGCACTACACAAGTTTGCTGCCAACACTGCTATTACAAACCAACATAATCTGCATCTAAGCTCATAAGCTTAAGAAATGTGTTTCTCTTTTAGGTCACTGGTTGACAAAAAGCTTTAAGAAATAAAGATGTAAACATGATTCAGCTGTTGCTTAGATAGAAATGCAGGGTCTGTACCTCAGTATCTGATTCTTGGTAGTTTTCCATCAACTGTTGAACGAATGTTTCAACTATCTGTGGTTGTACAACTGAGAAATTTTCTTGCATTATGCTGTGTTTCCAGAGCTCTGTGGGTACAAAGGGAGAAAACAGAAAACCAGAATAAAACCCCACATCAGCGGGTATCACTGTCATAAAATATTGATCCTTCAGTAATCCCTGGGATTTGACACTGGGTATGCTTTATAGCTTAGGGCTTCTCAGCTTTCCTAAAATGTTTACAACAAAAAGTAAATGTCATTGGAAACAGATTGCAAAGCCAGTGTTGAGCAGCAATATCAAATTTGTTCTGGTAGCCAAGCCAAAATGCAATTTCATTACAGACCAGTTCTGTCAATAATGACCTGGCCCACAATTGTGTATTGGAGTTTTCTGCAAATATTGAGTAAAGAATATGGCTTTTGTATGAAATTGAACATTTATGTACACTAATTATTGCTGCCTGCAATCAGAGCCAGTGGCAGTAGGGCACATTTTTCTTACCTTTTGTTTCCACTTTTTCTTTTTTTACTGTTTCTGTCTGTAAATACCCAAATTGCCCATAACCATGCAGTAATTGTACCAGCATAACATACCTAAAATACTAAAAAGTCTGACATTTAAATTACCTAAGATATTAACACTCCAACCCAGAGAGAAGTAATTTCCCATCAGCCTGCTTCAGCCTGCCTACAAACTCCAGTGGAGAGCTGACACCAAAGGTGTTCACACAGGACAACACTTTGCTGCCTTTATGCATCAAGGCTACTTTTCACATGCAAGAATTGGGCTCACATATTCCCAGATAGGGTATTTTAATTCTCCTTACCAGTGAGGAGACAATTCTTGTCTGGCTCTTTCAGGTGTCAGTAGAGACATCTCCTGATTAATTTTCTTCTGTACATCATGGATCATGTGGATTTCTGGGCTTTCCAGAAGATTTTGAAGGTAGAATCAAGCTTAATACTAGCTTTTTCTAAATCTCTATACTGTTAATAAAGCATCTTTCTAGCAAAAAGTAGCACACTAAGCCAAAACAATTGTCTTGCCATTCTTCTCTAAAATACAGAACTTTCAGAGAGAATATCAAGGTCAGTATCATTTGAGGCTGACTGTATGCCTAGTGCTGTGCCACAAATAGTCTGGACAGAGGCAGGTTCCCCTGTTGCTTTGGGCTCTCCCAGGACCCACATCTGGTTTCATGCAAGGTCACCCACATCTGAGAGACTTCCCCCATCTGACAGCCTCCATGGGCCCCTGCTGAACTTCACTTATCGGAAACTCCTCCTCTGTGACCAGTTTGTCTGACTAGGGCTTTCATGGCTGGTACAGGATATCTGCACTAGAATCACCACATCATGGGTGCTTCACACATTCTCTCGTTTACTGACCTTGGACCTTAACTCAGCTTTTCCTTCCGCTGCTCCTGTTTCTAATCCACGCAGAAAGTGGTTGTCTCAGCTCACTGCATTAGCCCCATTCAACCTACAAGCAGGACACAGTCTCTTCCTCAGTAGTCCTACCTTTTTACATAGTTCACCAATTTTTCCAAGTTTGTAGTAGTACAAAACTAAAACTGAGGGGAAGAAACCAAGGGGTCAAGCAGATAAAGCAAGAAATAAGGTCATTATCAAGAACTTGTCTATCACCATTGATCAAATAGACCAAGAAACTCCCTCCACCTCCTACCGCTCTCCTTGGTATCTGATCATGAGTTTTCTAAGACCTTCTGAGTGCCAAGTGCCAAGGCAGACACTCTGCTCTTAGAAACAGACGAGTCATTAGCAAGCTGTATACCTCGTTACATTTTATTGCTTAAATCATGCAGCCTTTCAAACCCTTAATAGTATGACACAAAGGCCAGCACAGGGCTTAGAGAGGGAAGTAGAGAGGTCTTATCTGTGGAAGGGGATGGGTGGGAATTTGGAGGAGGGAAACAGTGGGGTTTTTGGATACAGTAGATTTAGCAGATTGCCTGCTATGAAAGAGTGGTTGCAGGTGCTGCTACAGGTATTCCCTCATGCTCAAAGGCCAGCGTAAGCAAAGCCAGGGGCAGGGAGCTCACCTCTCCTCCCAGGAGGCAATAACTGCTAAAAGCAGTCTCGGGCATCACCACAAGAGAGCTCTGTCTGTGGAGGGACTGGTTGATGCTGAGGCCATGGGGCTCTCCTACCCAGCCCCATGGTGGAAGCACAAGCTGTCGCTCACTCCACACGGAGAATTTGCACCCCTGACTCCCAGCCCTCCTGCAACCCAGTCCTGCTCTGTCTCAGAGCTGCTCTCTCAGAAGTTCAATAAATTAGTTAGAGGCAAGGACCATAGGCCTCCACTAATGGACTCAGCTTCTTCCGCTCTGGTGGTAATGACGGGAAATAGCACTGGGATACAGATACATGGAGACCAGAATGGAGCAAACCTGATACCAGCTCTTTACACATACATAGATTTTCTGTGATGGATTCAGACTTGTCAATCTAAAATGCCTTGGATTGTATGGACAGGCCCACTGAGCATTTCTTCCTCCACTGCATGACAACAGTGCTTTCCAGTGCCTTCATACACGGTTTTCACCCTCACTGTGTCATCTTGCTCTTTCACTTCCTTTCTTGTGGTTTTCGGGGACAAGGTTTTTTAAAAAGCAGTTTTCCATTTTCTGCTTTCAGAAGGACCTCTCTGATGGCAACCTTCCAGTTTTCTGTTCTTGACTGCTAGAAGTTAAGCCAAATAGGAGGGTTAAGAATAATTCTGCTACAGTTCGTCTAGCAGGCTTCCCAAATTTCCATTTATTCAAGTACTGTATTTAACATTGTTTATGGAACCTGAAATACAGGGGCGGGTCCCATGACTGAGAATAATACACTAGGAAAATATAATCAACAAACAGTCTGAATACACTGAAAGAGGGTAAAAAACAACTGCAACAAAGAAACAGAAGGTAACAAGCCTTTAGAGAAAGGCGAAAGTACGAGGCTAATTACAGGCAAAAATAAAGGTAGACAATGCAAGAGAAAGGAAAGGTAATTGAAAGACGAGGACAGGAAGAAAATAGATGGAGAAGGCAGTGACATTACTTATTTTTCCTCTTTTCGGTCACTCTGGAATATTCTTGCATCCAAGGTAACTTATCTTTATTGCTCACAGAATTCACTGCAGAGAGGAACTATACTGATATCCTCAGTTCTCAGCTTCAGCACACCCCATTCCGCCTTTAGTATTTCTAATTGCTTTCGCAGTATCAGAGAAGATCCCAGTAAGCTGATACGACCAAATCATGATGCCTCAGCAAAATTTGCAGCCCTTTTGCTATTATGCAACCAATTAACACTTGAGTGTCAACTGTTTCTGCCTGATTCTGCTGGAAGTCCCAGGGAAATGTTTTGCTTCAGAAAGCTGTGTCAAGCTTTTCACATGATTTTCTGTGCTTAATATAATCTCATGAGATACACAGTGAGACAAGACGTGCAACAGGCTATTGTGCAATTGGAACTTGCAACAGAGCCTCACATCAGTGTCATTCAGAGCACAACACAGGAAAAAAGCGGCCTATTTTTTTACTGCAGTGGGTACTCACATACATCAGAGATGGGGATAAAATTTCACAGAGCTTAAATCCTTTGTTTTATTTCTGCTTTCCTCAAGAGGATCACTTCAACAGCATCAGTCTCTCCTTGGTCACTGGTAAAAGTGCTGTTCAAGAAATCAGACTCTTAGGTCAGATCATGAAGGAAGCAGACCCTAAAATAGCTAAATTTGTCCTTTCCACTCATTTTACCTTACAAATCGATCTGTGCATTTGTTTTCCATCACAAACAGTTTGAATCTCTCCCCATTCCTTGAACCAAATCTTTACATAGTTCCTGGCAGGCTTTAGGTGCCCCCAGCAGCCAGTCCTCACAAACACACCCACTCAGGGAAGTACAGCCTGGAAGTACCTTTTCTCTCTTTGACTAGATTCAGTTTTAGACAGCGACCAGGCTGTTGCTTTTCCCTTTGCACTGATAAGAAAGAGCTGGTCCTGCAGTGGGGTGTGGGAGGAAGTCAGGACAGTCGCTGGTTTCTCCAGAAATCTGAAGATACCAACAGGTCCTCAAGGGGCATCTACCGCTACTGCTCTCGGGAGCACTCAGGGTTGATTGGACAGCACTGTTCTCTTTGCTTTGTACGAGCTGACCAGGAGTAGGTGATGTTATTATGGCACACCTCAGGTCTAGGTGAATTTACGTTCACAGAGACATGGTTGCAAAAACCAAGAGGAGTCCTGTGTAGAAGCTGTACAATCCCAAACAAACTGAACCGTTAGAAGCACCTGCTTGTTCTGAGCTAATGAGACTTTGACAGTCAGTGCCTCCTTCACAGCACAGCCATGGCTGTTCTGCAGTGCATCCTGCATTGGAAACTGCATCACCACCAGCTCTGCCCGAGCAACCCTTTGGTCTGCATCACTCAGGCTGCACAGGCACAGCTGGAGAGGAAGGGAAGGTCTCTGAAGGTCTGGTGTCAGAGCTTCACCAGTAATAGAAAACCTCAGATAACTGTCAGCACAAAATTGTTTGTGTTAGAAACATGAATGGGTATCAAGTTTTTAGCGCCATGATCCTAAAACATATATGCCCGTGCATGAAAGTTATGAAATTCTCTGGTTGTAGGACACTAGAAAAAGGCTAAGTATAGGTTCATTATCAATAAAAATACTCAGTTCTGCTTGAAGAAAGGTCAAATGTGAAGCAGATGGTAAGATGGGCTTTTGGACAGAAAAGGGGAGGGGGTTGTTTTTTTAAAAAAAAGAAAAGAAATGAGATAGTATTAATTTGCTTTATTCCTGCATCATAAATTCATCTTTATGTCTTTGGGCATAAGTACAAGGCTGCTGTCTCACTGTACCTGCATGCTGTAATTTATATTAGTTGCATTGTTGATAGTGACTGGAAACAATCCTCCATCCATTAGGAATGTCCTTCAAGGAAAATGCATGAGTGTCTAAAAATATAGAGATGGCTGTTCGTAAATAAGAACAACATTCAATTAGTTCTGAGAATTCCATCTAATATGATAAGGAAAAGGCAACTCAGAGGCCAAGCTAATAGTTGATATGTGTTACACTCTGCTCTGACTGTGAAAGTAGGCCATGTATTAGAAAAGAGAGAAGCATCTGTTATCATTCCTTGGGACAGAAACAGTAAGAATTAATTCCAATAAGAATTAATTAAGAATACATTTCCTACCAAGATGCTGTGCTACTTTTGTCTCCACAGAATAGCTCCTATGTCTTTACCTACCTACTGTCAATCATTTATTGCTGGTCCTATCTCAGAGGCATCAGACATCTTATTCATCAAATGTCCAGATTTTGCATACCAATACAAATCCTGCTTCTCGGTTATGCTAAGTAGGTCCTATGTGTCATTGTCACCTAAATCAAGGCAGAAAATTGTATTCTTATAAATCATTATTTGGGAATGGCATTATTAAAGGTGAATAACGGTAGTATGTAGTATTGGATAATTAGCAGGATGGCATTAAAATGAAGAATCATGAGGTCAGAATGATTATTTAAAACTACCTATTACCTTGGAACATGCTAGTATTGTCAGCAAGACTCATCTTTACTTTCCCTAACATGACACCAGCTTTTTCTGCTGGTGTCATTCAAGGTGCCTCTTGAGCACATAGGCATGTAATTTGGCATTATGTAACTCCATGTGGTGCTATATCTAAGAACACCACTCCCCCCTAAATATCTTGCACACAACCACGACAGACATGCTGGGCGATCAAAACCGCTGCCAGTTGATAAAGAAGCTCAGAAGGGTAATTACCCAAAACTGAAAGTTGGGAGAATCACTAACATCTATCATGCAGAATAATTCCATTTTGGTGACATCGGTGTGTGATTACATTCCGTGTCAAATTTTTATTATTCACTTCTGTAGAGAGTGCCTTCTGGAACTCCTACTGGAGAATCAAGTTAATAAGCTTTGATCATGGGAATTTTTTAATTAGCTGTTAGTGGTTAGATTCTTTGCACTATGGTAGGGAAGGAGTAAGAACACCAAAAAGAAGTGGAGAGGACACTG